ACAAAGTATTATAAACCCTGTTACAAACCCTGCCACACTGCTCCTGTGGCATGTGTGTGATTTTTCTAAAACAAGGTTACACGCAAACACACACACACACACACACACACACACACACACACACACACACACGATTTTGAACGTAATGCAAAAGTTCCAAAGAGATGATAGGAAGAAGTATCTATTCCCTGTACCTTGCTAAATTGGGGCTGACAGTTACAAATATTTTTGCCTTGTGAAAGAGATAACCCCATTGATTGGGACTGGACAAAACCCCGGAATATCTCAACTTGTTACCAGCAACGTAGATCAGCCCAGTGACTCAGCCAGAGGAACCTACATTAGAGAGAAAGGTTTGGATTTAAATTAATGATAAATGAAAGAAAGGTGAAATTATTGCTGAGGGAAGGGTAGCTAATAAATAGGTGATACAAAATGGAAAATCTAATATAATTTTAGTGCCTTAAGATAAGCATAGAGCAAGAAAACATTATTCTCTCTTAGCTTTGATTTGGAATCCCACTGGGTGAAGAACTCTGGTTGCCGAAATCATCTCTTCTGAATAACCAAGGAGCAAGCAGGACAACAGCCAACCCAATGAATATAATATACTTCTGAGAGTGGTCTGTTTCCTCAAAATGGATGAACAGATGGAAACTCTGAGTACAACTATATGGAACAATACTAATGTGGCTGTGTCTTTTAATTCCCATGTCACAGGATAGAGCTATTATTGAAGACTCAAGTTAAGAAGAAAACTCTGGGAATATATATCCAGTTTTCAGAGAACACTGATCAATCATAATCTAAATAAACAATTGCATGGTCATTAATTTTAATGATGAAGGTTTAAGGTACTGGGATACAACAGTAGAAGTTCATCTTCTGCATATACCATCTATCAAAATATTATGTGTAAAAACAACTCTTTGCCCTGTTATTATAGTTGGAAAGCTATAAAGAGGTGGAGAGACAATTGGGACACTTGGATCATTGACAAAAGAAAATAATTTAGTCTTAACTTTCCGTGCCCACATTCCTGAGAATGAAAAGCCAGAACTTCTACATGGATAGCTATGGGAAGCACCAGGCATAGCCAAAACAAAGCCTATTTAGCAGTGAGGACTACTCGCAAGAACTTAGCCTCAGAGAGTCATCATGGTTGGGTCTCAAGTTTATTTCCTAATTGTAAGAATGAAGTTATTATTCAATATACAACAGATCTGGTATATCAAACAGCTTTTGCCTGCTTTAAAAAAAGAGAGCCTTGGGATAATGAGGAGCTGGGCTAGGAGTAATTAATGAGGAAGAATTCACTTTTAATGAGGAAAGATATTTTGGAAGGAAAAAAAGAGATTCCTGGAGCAAATGGGGAACCTCCAAGGCATCCTCCTCCAGGAGGAAAGACACAGATGACAACTGGAATAGCAACACAGCACTGGGAAAGTGGCCTTGCAGTTTGAGTAGACACTAAGGCAACATGCCCAGAATCAGAGATGGGACTGAGCTTGCATATCAACACAGCTGGGTTCCTGGATATCTTAATTCAAATGGAATCTGAGCCATCCCAGGTCCAACAGCCAGGGATTCTCACAGCATGGGAGCCGTACAGGCTACACAGTCTATGGAAATTTGTAACTGGAGAATTCAAACCACTGATGTGCTCTTTAACAACTTTAGTGCCACAACTGAGTGCTAACTGTTCCTTTCTTATAATTCATGGATATTGGATAAACTTTAAACAGGACTAGAGGACTGCTCCCCATGGAGACTGGATGGACCCAATTGTGAGACAGGTCTCACTGGGAAACACTACGTATCAAATCATGTAACCAGAGAAAAGGAATTTGGCTGTGTTTTTAAGAGGTTTGGAATCCTGAAATAATAGAGACAGGGTCTCTAACCTATATTCCTATGAGAAAGGTAGATTTTGTTTGGAAGGACATAATAATAATATCTAATTATACTTGACTTATACTGTACCATGTATCCATGATTCTACAGTATGGTATAATACAGAAATCAGAAATAAATTTAAAATTGTAGAAGCTAATAAAATTTATGATATTACTGAGGTGGTTGATCAAATGTATTGTGAGATCAAACTAAAACCCCCTCATGATGTTATCCCTATGGACAAGAATTGGTTTGAAGAAGATTTAGATTTGATGAATGATAATTAGTATTTTCGTTCTCTCAATAGATGTATACCTTAAAGTGCAGACAGCCATTAAGTCAGGGAGACAAAAGAATTACAAGGTTAATCCAAAATATAAGAAAGTTTGTGCTATTCTGTACTAATATTATCAGGTCGTTCAGCTATCTACTTAAATTCATACCAACCCCTTATTAGTTATTACAGAGATTTGGAATTTGGTGCATTTTGATTGCCTATGTTCTTACGTGATGCTTTAAGGCAAGTAATTGCTGTCAAATCAAGAGGTATCATTATACCTTAAAAAGACCTTGATCATGGTAAAAGAGCTGAACTGTGCTGTGAGTGCTAATTCCAGAAGACCTGGAATAGACCTGCGTTGTTTTGCTAAATTACCTGCAAGGCACTGAGCCTCTGATCAAGACATGAAATGTGCTGATTAAGAGTATTGCTTTGTAACCATGGATCTTAGGAATTTTGGCCCAGTTTGTTCCAGCTTTCAGCATTGTTTGTCAATAACTGTGAGATTGATGATTTGCACCTGGTCTCTATGAGACCTCAGAGAGCTGGGCTGTTGGGGCCAATTATGTAGCAAGAATATATCTTTATGACCAGCAAAGTGTAAGAAACCCCAGCTGAGACTCCAATTTAGGGTCCCTGGTTTCAAGGTGTTCCATGCACCTGTCAGTGGGTCCTGGTCCTAGAGAAGAAGCACATATGTGTGGCCCTTACCAAGAGAAGACATCCGAACCTCGGGCCTGGCTTCTTCAGAACCCTTGTTATGAAGCAGACTTGGACTGTGCTGGTGCTGTATTGGATCTTTTTCCTGCAATATACCACAGCTTTATAAACATTGTCATTTTGGTTCCTGTGAGTCTTCCTTACCATGTCACCATTAGTGCAGTTAAATTCCAGATCCTTTAGGAAAAAAGCAGTAACTGACATAGTTTTTCACCCTCATCTCCTCCTCACACACACATGCGCATGCACAATTTTCCTCTTATAGAAAAGATAAAGTCCCAGTTATCATCTTGTATCTAGCCATTTAGACAGCTTCAAGTTTCCACTGCATGTCATTAGGCTGTCTGCTTTATGCTGGGTGAGAGATGTGAACTCTGGTCCTAGAAGAGTATTGATATTTTCTACGGGGGGTAAAAAAATAAAATCTCAGAAAGTGGAAGTGCAAGGGCTTTTGTAAGAAATGCAGTGGTCAAAGAAGAAAGACTTCAAGGATGAGACAGAAGAAAAAATGAAAATTAAGTCTGAGTGAGCATTCACGTGAGGCACTTCTGAAAGCTTATGTAGTGAGATCTCACTCCATGTGTATCCCAAGAGAGTGGAGTCGCAAGACAAAAGGCATAATATCCAACCCGCTCTCCTCACTACTGACCAGATTCTACTGAAGGTTTACAATGAAGAACTTCCTAAACCTGCTTCAGGGATCAGTATTATTCAAAACCAAACGAGAAGAGCCCAGAGCAGGTGAGGAGCAGCAGACAAGTTGACAGGTGTCTGAGTTTACGTTATTCCAGAAGTACATCCTGAGACAAAGATCTATACAGGTGGTTTATTTGAGAAATGATTCCAGGTGTACCTGGGAGAAGAGTGGGGATGTTGCAGCTATGAAACCTGACGTGTTTAAACAATAAAAAAAAACTTTAGCAGCTGCTCCTTTAGAAATGCAAAAAGAATTAAATGCGCAAACTAAAAAGCATACAGAAGATCTAAGGCAACTGAAAGAAGAAAAAAGGAGACAAAAGAACAATATGTGAAAAAGAATGAAAGAAGGAAAAAGCTGTAAAGAAAATGCTAAGTAATGTCAGGAAGAAAAGAATCTGGTCCTTCTACTTCCTCTTTATTTCTAAATGTAAAGCTGCTAGAAATCCTCTACATGGCAATGGTTTTAGTTTGTTTGTTG